TATCCATCTGGACCTTAAAGTCAAATAGTCTTTTGCAGAATATTTGCTTCTCTTTCTTGACAAAGACCAAGGTGCTGCAGGTAGATATGTTCTCTTTCCTTGGACTTTTGGATGCAAATCCTTCCTTATACCAAGATCTTGGAGATCTCTACGAGCATTAAGACCATCTTTAGATTTTCCACAATGCAACAATGTAGAAACAATGCTTGAAGCAACATTTTTCTCTACATGCATTACATCCAGATTATGCCTTACAGGGAGATCCTACAACAAATAAAAATATAGTTATATTAGATCCATACCTAATCACAGCTTAACTGATCAATTATGCAAATAATTCAACAAAGCATACCTCCCAACAAGGCAGCTTGAACAATATTGATCTTTTCTTCCACCTTGATAATTCCTCCTGGTCTACTTCTACTTCTTCATCGTCCTCAGATTCACTAGACAAATCTGAACTATCAGAAACTGGATCAATATAGGCAGTCCTTTTTCTCTTCCTCCCAGAACCTTTAACATTTCCAAAGTCATTTTTGTAGTTTTTCAGGATCCGATAGACTTCATGACCAGTTAAAATTCTTCCTTTTCTCCCATGTTCAGCCTTTCCATCAAACCATGTCTTCTTATCCCTATATCTATGTGTTGGTGCCAATCCCTTTCTATGGCACATGTACACATGCTTCCTGCTAAACTTCAACCACTTAGAATCTGTATTTTTTGCACATACAGGACAGCCCATTTTACCTTTTACTTTGCAGCCAGCAAGATTACCATAAGCTGGAAAGTCACTAATAGTCCAGAGAAGCATTGCCTTTAGATTAAATGTAGTTTTACTATAAGCATCATAAGTTACCTCTCCCTTCTTCCACAGATGATTTAAATCTTCAATAAGAGGCTCTAAGTAGACATCAATGCTATTACCAGGTTGTTGTGGACCAGGAATAAGCAAGGTTAGCATTATGTTCTCCTTCTTCATACATAGGTGAGGAGGCAAGTTATAGTTTACTAGCAGAACTGGCCAGCAACTGTACTTAGTATTCTTCATGTTGAATGGATTGAAGCCATCTGTGGACAGACCAAGACGCATGTTCCTTTCTTCTGATGCAAATAAAGGGTACTTGTCATTCATCTTTTCCCATGTAACAGAATCTACATGATGGCGAAGTTTGCCATCACTGCTCTTGTTACTGAAATGCCATCTTAAGTCCTTTGCCATTTCCTCTGTCCTGAACATTCTCTTCAGCCGCGGTATTATTGGAAAGTACCGTAATACTTTCTGTGGTACACCTTTCTTGACTTCACCAGTGTGCATATTAATCTTCCACCTTGAAGCATTGCATTTGGGACAATTTTCCAGCTTCTTGTACTTCTTTCTGAAAAGACAGCAGTCATTTACACACGCATGAATCTTCTCATATCCCATATCAAAGCTCTTCAAAAATTTCTTCACATCATACAAGGATGTGTGAAGCACATTATCCTTGGGCAACATTTTTGGTAGTGTCTCAAGAAGCTCATCAAAGCTCTTGTCAGACCATCCATTCTTGGTCTTAATCCTAAAGAGAGACACAATAGCCGACAGCTTGCTGTGGTTTAAACAATCAGGATATAAAGGGGTTTCTGCATCTGCTAGCTTAGCTAGAAACTCATCTTCTCTCTTGTCCTCACCCTCTGCAATCTCACTTAAGTCAGCCACTGGATTGTCACCTAGCTCACCATTACTAGCCAACTCTTGGTCATGGTATTCAGCAGCTTTGTATAACTCAAGAATTTCCTCATTCCAAAGATTTACTTCCCTCTCACATTCTCCATCAGCAACTGTGTCTCCACGATGGTACCAATCACTTCGCAGCTTGTAAGCCTCATCCATCCCTCTTGTTACAAGATGAACCACCACATCACTACTTGAGTAGCGGTATACATTACGACAGTCTTTGCAAGGACATATTATCTTATCTATATCTCCTAAAGCCGCAGCCACATCAAATACAAATCTCCGAGCACCTCTCTCATAACCAGGATCAGCTCTTCAATGAAGAAGTAAAGTAGGAAAAAAAAATCTTAAAGTTTCTAAACCCCATTTTAAAGCAAACCTATGTATATAATTTTATTCCTTACCTGCATAGATGCACCCATGCCTTGTCCAACATTATATGTTATAAGCTTAAATAAAACCTTATTAACACAAATTGAAACCATAATCAACAATAGTCACAGAGAAAAATCACATGATAAGAGAACTTATCATGATCAGACAACTTATCATGAAGACACAACTTAAACTGAACACAATGCTAAAGACATACTAAGCATTAAGCAACTTACACTATCTCAGAAACAAACAAATTAACAAAACAAGAACAGTGACAACAACCTTAACAAATTGACAACAGTCACAGCAACTTCAACAAAACCACAATAGTCACAGCAAATTTATCAAAACCAAAACATTCATACCATTTACAATCAAAGAATCACAGCCACATTCAAGGACTAACCTGTCGTATTGGTACAACAAAGGCAAAGCTTCAGTTCCCCAACATTTCAATCACCAACACTTGCCAAAAAATGCGGAATCAAAAAAGCAGAATCAGTATAAGCTTAAATAAAAAATCTACTAACAAATCGATTAGGAGAAATCTAAATCGCAAAACCAAGATCTTTGTGAAGAGAATGTGGATCAAAATGATTAACAGACATCAAAATCGCAGAAGTTTTCGCTTTACCCTAATTTCAAACTAATCGAAGAACCCTAATTTCAAAATGACATAAAAAAATCCGATTTTCTGTACCAATCTACTGAACTAGGTTGAAATTAGAGACAATCTTGACCAAAAAATCAATAGAAATGGAAGTTATAGAAACGAAGAAAGACATGCATGCCTCGATTTTAGCTAGCTGACGGCCGCTGCGAAGGAGAATGTGGCTACGGAGGAGTACAAATCCGACCTTAATACGCCGCAGAGGATAGAGTATTTGAGAGAGTATTTGAGAGTTGAGGATTACTCTGAGTTTTGTCGGAAAAAATTTCGAGAGAAAGGGTTTTGTTTTTGGTTAAGTGTTTTGACTGAAGAGGGAAATGAATTAGATCTGAGGCGCTAAAGGTTTTTTTTTTGCTAAGTGTTGGCGGATTAAGTCATTTTAGATTCCCGCTCATTAAATTTCTATCATAGCATTTACACACCGCTATTATAAAGAAACCCAAAAAAAATAAACTCTACCATAGCAGTAACAGAAAAAACGCTATACTCGTGTGCTATCAATGCTGATATTTGTTGTAGTGAACTAAGATGAGAAAAGATGGCGAGGAAGAAGAGGCTGGCCATATGGTGAATTAAACATATTTTAAAATGAATTAAAAGAGGAAAAATTCCCAAAAAAAAATATAATGCCAATAGAATCCTTGACAAGTCAAGTGAAATACAAAAGACTAACTGCCACCATGATAAGTGGTAAATATAGTGTAATGCCACCGCACCAAACACCAATAACGACATGAAGGCATGACCACAATCTATAAACCTTGCTCGTGTGTGATCTAATAAATTTTCTCCCGCTCTAATACATATTTGATCAATTTAGAGATAAATTTGGTTCGGAGTAATTAGTTAGGAAATGGACTTAAACTTAACAATTACATCTTTTTTTTTAAAAGATATAGTTAATTCACGTCTATATGATGTAGACAAACATCAACCACATAATTATAGAGGTACATATTGATATGATATTAGATAAGATGATTTTTTTTTTACCTCATGAAATAAAGCTCAAACACTTGATAAGTGAAAAGTTGAACCACTAATTATTCAAAGTTTAGATAACAAATATGAAATATCAGAACTAGAGTTCTTTATTTATTTTGTATCAGATACATTCTCAAAGCTTTCTATTCTTTACTTATGAAATTCATATTTGCAACATCCACAGCCTGTCGAGAAAAAATTGATTTGAGGTCAGATAAAAAAAAAATTACATAATTGTTTAAAGAAAAAAAAGGAAAGAAGAGATAGATAAAACTCACTAGGATCAGTTACACTAATGAGACCAGAGCCTCCGAAATCGCATGTTGAAAATTGTCTTCCTTGACTTTGATAATAAAGATTCATGGAAACAGAAGCTAAATTATAGAGATTAAGTGAAGAATAACATGCACTTGCGTTCGATAAAATATCACAATTGATTTTCGAACACACATAGTTTATGTTCTTTAACAGTTGTTGGATTGGCGTGCCAGGCTTAACCACACACCAACTCCCTTGACTCTGCAACAAAGAGCAAACTCAAAATGATATAAAAATCATCATATGAGATTGAATGTTGTTTCATGAGTACTTACTGGTGCCTGTGCATTGACTCTCATGAAACTACCTTCTGTAAGAGAAACATGGAAATAAATCTTTTTCACAAAAGAGGGAAGCAAATATAACAATCAACTAAAGTACCTGATGAGATGTATAATAAGATGATGAAAGAAAAACATATTTGTCCTTTAGCTAGCAATGTTTGTTTTTGTTTGATGTCTTTGTTAGAATTGACCAATGATTTTAGAGATTTTGTGTGTTGTTATATATGAACAGCTATACATACATATATATACTTAGCCTTAACTCACAGTGTCACACTAACCCTAATACCAAACATAATTAAGCCCAAATATATCTATATATACATTTTTGGAGTACACTTAGCAAATAAATCCTAGAGTTGCTAAGTATTTACAAAGAATGCCATTGGTATTTATTTTTTTTAATTCGAAA